TTTACTCATGATGCATTTTTTAAGGAACATTTATTATAATTAATCGTATAATTTAAAACAAAAAATATTTGTTGACGTTTTTCAATGTAACTATCAATTTTATAGTCTACACAATTTTTAAAACTTGTGCAAATTTTAAGATTGTGTTTGCATTACTTATGTTATATTGTTTTACTGCAATATATCAGGTGGTATATTTACCACTTGTTGTATTAAATAATTTTCAATAACTGCTTTGGCTGAAAAAAATTGATCAATAAGTTTTCATAAATAATTTATGTAACATATTGCAAATATTATTTACTATATGACTTTTGCTTACCAGTTAATGAATTATTTAAAACTGCTGCATGATAAGCACTTATATTGTACATATTACGACGTGTAATATCAGCTCCTCTAGATAACAGTTCATAACATACATGTGGATGATCCCCATGTGCTCCATATATTAAAGGTGTATTACCTTCCTATATTATCAAAAGAAATCAATACTTCAATGCTTTTATTTGACAAAAAAATTTATTAACATGTACCTCATCACTTGTATTGGAATCTGCACCATGGTTTAATAACAATTTTACAAGATCATGGTGTCCATAAGCAGCTGCCAAATGTAAAGGTGTTTCTCCATTAAGACCACGATAATTTTTATTAGCACCAGCTTTAAGTAATTGTCTTGCACTACCCAGTTGGCCATATCCCGCAGCCCACATAAGACCAGTTAAACCTTTTTCATCAGGTGTGTCTACAGCATCTTTGCAATGATTGATTAGTAATTATTTAATTATAAGTAAATAAGTATTATTACTTTTTCTTTACAAACATAACATACTTGGGTGTATATGTTCAGGTGCAAGTTCACCTTGACCAGCTAATGTATGAAATGTAATATCACTACCTCCATAAAGTTGAGGTATTTCTGTTTGTGTGTTACCCCTTTGTAAATTAGTAAGTAAAGTAGGAGGCTGGAAAAAATGTTTGGCTAAAGAAATGCCTATAATGTATTTTTGATTTAAACATTTTCAACAATTTATGTAGAAAGATTATATTACCTTATATGGTTGAAAAGCACTAGTTCTTGTAGCATCTTGCCATGCTCCTGGAGCCCAATGCCACTTAGTTTCTAGAGGTTCAGATTTACACCCAATATTTACATTCTCTGGTTTACAAATTAAAGGTCTAGGTCTGATACCAATTGTTGATTCTCCATCACGTACAGTATTTTTAGTTTCAGTAGTAGCAGTATTACACTTTTGTTCTTTTTCTTCTTCCTCTTCTTCTTTCACAATTAATTCAGAATGAATCTGATTTTCCATACTTTTATTATATTTTGCAGAAAAATTAGAAGTCATGCATTAAACAATGCATAAAAAATGAAATAATAAAATGT